TATTGCCTCGAGGCCGGGGGGGTGGAGGTTGGCCTCAGGGCATGGCGCCTCAAGGCTAGGGAGGGCGGGGGTCGGCCTCAGGGAACGGCGCCTTGAGGCTGGGGGGCTCAGTTAATTTTTTTTAGAGTGCTGAAATTGAAGCTCAACTGCACAATTGCTTTAATTGGATAATTAAGCTTAACCGTTAATGTAGTTGATTGAATTGGACAAATGTACATAGATGAGATGAAATGTTGTGAGTTCTTTCATCAAACATGTATCTTTCTTTTTTTCCCTTCTTTTTTGTCTTTCAGCATGAATGTTGATGGATGCAATGTTGTTCATTGGAATCAATGCTGCCATAAGGTAATTAAGTCTAAAAGCTTGTACAAAAATGTACTCCATTTGTTTTTGAGTTTGTTTTAATGCATCGTCGCTCTTTCAGCGTTCGAGTCTCAAATGAGCTTGGGCTAGGTCGGCCCATGGCTACCAAATATAGTGTAGTATTTCAATCAATCCTCATTGGGATACTCTACTGGCTGTAAGAAATCATCTGGCCATTCTTTTCACAAACAGCAAGGATTTGCAATGAGCTGTTGCTGACCTTGCTTGGCTTCTCGGAATAACCATGGTTCTTAGCAGTGTTAACAGGTGTTGTGTTTATTCCAAATATTGTTTTGCAGGTGTTGCTATTGGAGGTGGATGGCAAGGTCTAGTGGCTTATATCAATTTGAGATCTTACTATGTTTTTGGTATTCCTCTAGGATATACGATTGGTTATGTCTCTAACCTTAACCTTGGAGTCGTGGTAAATAAACTCATTCTAAAAGTTACAAACATTAAGTATATCAAAGTTTAATCTCACACTGCATTTGTAAACATCTTTTATAGGAAACACTTCGTTTTAGTATCTCACAACTTTTTTTAACCTAAAAACATTATGACAGAAATTCAATTTATCCGAATTATGGATTATATCTTGCAAGGTCTATGGGGAGGAATGATAGCAGGACTTGCTTTACAGACACTGCTACTCTCATTTGTACTCTATAGAACTGATTGGAATAAAGAGGTAAGTAAAACGGTTGGTGATTTTTGTACAATTTAAAACTCCAAAACAAATTAACTTTACTCATTCTTGATAGGAATTAGCTGTCCATCCTCTGTAACCTGATTATCCTATATTCCATTTTTGTTTGAAAGTCATTGCACAAGGGGAGTTGTTTGACTATTGCTGAATTTTCTTTGAAAATTGCAGATGAAGCAATACTAGTTAAATACTTAGTTTGTTACAGATTTTTGTTGAACCTTCCCTTTCAGTATGATTTAGTCATGTGTACTAATAAGAAAATGAAATGCAGGTTTAGCAGTCTGTAGAGCACCTACGCAAGTGGGGAGGTCAAGACTTTGAATCTGAGAAAACTATTACAATTTCAGAGCCTACGAAGGCCTTACCATAAGAGTATGATTTTTCAGTGACATCAAAGGATGAAAGGTCTTCATCTTTGTTTTTGTTAACCAGTTAATGATATAGTATCTACATGTTGTGAATAAAGTGGAGCCTAAATCCATGTCAGATGCCACGGTGGATGACAGCTAGGCTAGGTGTACACGGGTAAAATACTGATCAAAAAGATTATAACGGATTTTGTAGGTGACCCGGCTAAAAGATACTCTTGACATCGTGAGTGGGGAACTGTTAGTTGTAATAGGAACCTAGCTGCAATTTAGAAGATTAGGCTAAGATATTTGTTTGTTGTGCTCTTTCTCCTATTATCTCTCTGTGTTTGTTACATTACATTTAAATATGATATGTCAATTCACAGCTTTGTTGCTCCTATTGTGGTGTCTACATAATCGGTTGATAGTTTATTTTTCTGGAGTATCACTAATTAAAGTTGTGTGGACTCTTCACTTTCACTGCTGCACCCATGCCGGATTCTCCAAAAATACACTACTTTTGGAGAATCTAATACGCACTCATTGACATTTTTGAAGAGTCCAAGCAACATAGTCACTAATGTCTTGATCTCAATTTGACTTGTCAATTAACAATAGAAATAAATCACTTGTAGCTTTAGTCGTTGATGGACATGCACAGCCGGGTGAGTTAGCAATAGTAGGTATGAGAAGTTTTTGATAGTAGCCGAAGTTGTTTTTCAGAAACCGAAAAAATATAGTTTTTTTTCTCAATAATTATTTTTTGAAAAGTACGTTTGAGAATAAAATACACTTAAAATTACTTTTAAAAAGTTTGGTCAAACATTAATTATTGCTTAAAAGTATTTTTAAAAATTTATTGATTGAACACATTATTTCTCACCAAAATTACTTTTTTGAAAGCCACTTTCAGAAAGAAAAAAAAACATTTAAACAACTATAAGCTCAAGGACTATAATGAAATGTCCTTTTTTTTTTTTACCCCAAAAATAAAAAAATGTGCCTTTTTATTTTAGTAGAAAAATGACTCTTTAAGTAGTTGAAATGTATCTTTTTGATCCTTTTACTTGTCAATATTCACAAATTTCAAGAATTAATAATGTTATTTCTTGCACAAAAGAAACTAAATATACAAATTTTAATTAATCTAAGACCAGTGTAATTTCTATATCACAATCAAAATTTACAAACAAGTGAGGAACCAAAAATATTATGATCCCTTCATTTAGTTTGCCACCAAAATAGTTCTCACACTATCGATGTCTCCAATGCCCCTTATTTTGATGATTTAAAGAATTTTACTCAACTAGGTTATACAAAAAATCGTACATTCATTGATCTACTTGAGGATGAGTTGTGTTGTAGATAACATCATGATTAGACTTGCACATAACAAATTGAACTTGCTCTTGGCATTTGAGCTCAACTAGTCGAGCTAATAAGAAGAAAGATTATGATTGTAACCTAATAATCCTCAGTTACAATCTCTCACCAATACCTGCATCATACACACCAAATGTAAAGCAAATATAAGAATTCACTTATTTTGCTTCTTCTGGATAAGTGATATACAAAAGATAAAAAGGAAAAATGGTAACCATCATGAAAATTTGTTGACAGGCTTTAATCATTTGTAAAAAGGCACGCAGTGTCATGTTTATTCAATGGAACATTGTCATTATATGTCACACTATTTCGAATAAAAAGTAATCATGAAATGCAGTTTAGAATCCAAATACAGAAGGCAAGGTGATCATCTTCCCCACTAACAAAACTAGTAGTCTTTTGTTCCAAAGTTCTTGCACCATAGCTGAGAAGGAATGGGGCGGACTGGAAGATGTGGCCTTTGCTGCAAAATTGAAAAACTTGTTATAGCATGAATATCAAATATTCCCCAAGAGAAAAACAGAGTAAACTTCCATACATCGCTGAGTCGGTGGAAAGCAAGAAATGCAAGTAAACCAAGAGAGCAGGTTGTTAATAAAAGATAAAAGGGCAGATCAAGAGGAGGAAGGCACACTAAACATTATTCTAGAAAGGCAAAACACAAAGAAAGACACTAAAAGTTATCACCAACTGCCAATTAGACACTTCAAACTTCTTGTAACAAGTTTGACACCTCAATGGCATAAGTGTGTCTTTTGGACGCCAGTTCTAAACAACATGTGTGCAATCGTTGCTGACATGTCAAATGAACCAATAAAATAACGACACGTTAATTTTTTTTAAAAAAAATTGTCACGTATAATTTTTTGAGATGCAATAATTTAAAAAAAAAAAAACCACACCACCCTCTCCACATTTAGCTTCCCTAAAAAAGTGAATGCAAACTTCCCGCAACCTCCAAGCCAGAAAAAATGGGATCTTCAACGCCCTGATAAGAAAATCAAAACGACAGACAGCTCGCACAACCCCAAACACTTGCAGCTCCTCCTCAAAATTTCATCCCAAAATTCCAGTCACACTACCCGACACCGCAGAGCCAACACTGAGTCTGAGACCATAACTTTGGTTTAGAAACTGGCATTTCAAGCACCATGAGCTTGGGTCCGACAAATTTCCTGGTGATGGATTCTGAATCAACGGGAAGCATTGTTTGGAGAACCCCTCTGGTTGAGTTTGTTCAAGTTCTTGCACGCTTATGCTGAAAATAATTTTTTCGGCAAGTTTCTATTAACTCAAAAAGGCAACAGCAGCCACCATATTTTTACCAATCCATTTATTAGAATGGTAACAAAGCTACTTCGCCTTTTTCTTAATACTCCTCCACCTTTGAACCATAAACCACCACAACTGACAACACCGTAGAAGAATTTCCAGAAGCTCCATTTTGAAACCATCACCATAACAACTCCCTCACTAAGGAATTTTTTGTGGCAAGACAACAAGGAAAGGGGAGGTTTTCATCTTGTCAAACAGAAAACAAGGGAAACCTGGGTATACTGAATTTGAGGAAATAAAATCAAAGTCTTCTCATAAAATGGCTATGGAGATACCCTATGAAGATCACTTCCTGCGGAAGAAAGTAATCAAAGGTAAACATAGAGAGGAGTGCTTCTGGAAAACAAAGGAGGTGACCACTGCTTATAGTGTTCGGGGTCATATGGTTGTTGGTTGGAGCTATGCATGAATTAGTTATTTATGTATTACTAATCCATGTATTAGTTATTCCATCTTCTACTCCGCATTAAACAATACATAAATTGACTCATTGACTTAAACATGTCTTATTAATGTGAAATTGAAAAATGATAATTGACAACTGAACACTATACATGGTTTGCTGAATTTTATACAAAGCAATTAAAAGATAACGAACATGATATTAGCTATGCTAGTTATAATACATGAATAACTCTCTTCCTAACTAGCAACCAAACAATCCCTTAGTGTTTGGAAGTCTATCAACGCTCTTTGGCAAATTTTTAGGATCAGCTACAGAATTGGAAATTAGCAAGACACATCTTTTTGGGAAGACAACTGGTTTGGCCTCTCAAGCTACTATTCTTTGATATCTACACTCTAAACCAGCAACATAAGCCCACCACTAATGAAGTATGGACTGCACAGGGGTGGAATCTCAGTTTTAACTTTTAAGAGACCAATGAATGATTGGGAGATTGCTAGATTCACTGATTTTTGACACACTCAAGCAGTTCACAGTGCAAAACTGGAATCAAGATAAATTATGGTGGCTAGGGCATAACTCAGAAGCTTCTTTGTAAAATCATCTGAACCACGCCAACAATCAAACTGAATTGTGGCCTAGGAAGCACATATGGAAGGTTAAAATCCTAGACTACTTTGGTTGGCTGGTATGGAGGAGGCAAGTTTAACTTGAGCGAACCTTAAAAGGAGGGGAACAAAACTCTGTTCGATTTTCCATCTATGTGGGGAAAATGCATAAACAAATAGCTACATGTTTCTACATTATAAAGTGACTACACATTTATTGGGCATCTTTCTGGTTATGGCAAGTTTGAGTTGGAGAATGCCAGAGAAAACTCTGTGACTGCTGTCAAGCAGGCAAAGTGGAGGATCATTAAATCAGAAAAGAAGATGGAGCATAATCTCATCTTGCATACAGTGGGTCATATGTAGGGAGAGGATCTTAAGATGCTCCAAAAATAAGGGCAATTTAATTCAGAAAATAAATTGAATTGCATGATGTTGTTCCATTTCTGGTGCAAACAGAAAAATAAAATAAAATATAAAAATAAATAAATATATATATATATATATATAAAAAATAAGGAAGAACAGAGGTTTTTTTGGTTTGTTTCTATACCTCCTTTTTTACTACAAAACTCTATAATTTGAACAGTCTTTTCGGCTTTTAGTATTATAAAAATAAAAATATTTGCATATCAAATAAATGTTTCTAATTTGGGTAAACGAAAGGGTAAAAGGGGAAATTTATTTTCTTTTTGATAGCTGGAGATGGGTTCTAAATACACCCACGCTGAAAAGTGAACATACCAATAGTGTATTGTCAGGTTAGATCAGGGTGAGCCCAACACATTATGTTAATGAGAATCGAGAAGTGTAAGTCACGAGGATAATTAAGTTGTACAACTGGAAGATGATGACAACTCTAAGTGTCTATCTATGTATTTGGCCTTCTAGAAAATATTCATTAGTCTTTGGGATGGAAAGAGCAACCATTTACATGATAAAACAGACTCAGTATCAGCTTTGAACAGAGGCTTCAAACTTGCAGACAACATAAACATTGGTTAGGCAAAATCTTCTTTGCTTGCACCAATGTTCCAAATACTTCAGTTTTTTTTACTTTATATTTTATTGTTCTTTAAAAATGCTTAAGATGCACTTGTTTGACAGCAATAAGTACAGAATTTGTAGCATCTAACTAAGAGTACCAAATAAGCAGGCTGAACGTTTGATCAACAAACTAAGGACAAGATCATAATATTAGAAGGAAAACAAAAAGGCAAGACAGGTAGAACAGGAGGAAAGGGGGCATAGTCTAGTGAACACGCACCCCTTCCCCTCACAATTTTGCCTAGCATGATCAATGATTCCCCATTTACGATAACCAATCTGCAGAGTGGGAGGTTACAGTGCGAACGACCATTTCTAAAATCTGTATGTTCAGAGAATCACTAGATTATCTTTGTTTCCTTTTTGTCAACTAAGAAAACACCAAGAACCATGACACATGGATCGAAACTCGGTGGATAATGGGCTTGCCCATTACACTTCTCTACTTAAATACCAAACTTTTGTCTGTGTCGGGACTCAAAAAGGAGCATTACTAGAGTATCCAAAATAATTTCTTTTACAAGTAATATTTTTTCCAGAAGTTATACATTTAATTAAACAGTAACATAGAAAAATCACTTTTAAGAGTGATAGCTCCTTAGTAAGACGATAAAAAATAATTTGAACACCCCGCAATCATTTACTAATTATGTTTGATGTAAGTTCCACATCAACAGAGTGGAAGAGCTGCAGCTTCTTATTGCCTCTACTAAAGGAGACCAACTCTGAGCAGCTTCTCACAAATTTCAAGGAGTCTTGAGTCCACGAGTGGACCTAAATCCTCCTCATATGAAGTTTTCTCTGAAGCAGAATGCTTTTTACACCAAAAGTTTGAGTGTGAGAATTCAGTAACCAGGATCCAATCTTGTCCAATTGAGTTCACAGACTACAAGTGTATTCACACTGAATTCTGCCTATGTCTTATTGCCCAAAGCTTCACAGCATAGATAGACTAATTAGGTATCCTATGGAAGGATCACACAAGGGGGAAGACCGAAAGAGTGCACCGGCACGAAGCTAACACCTTTATCAACATTTCACCATGAGCACGTCAAATTTTTTTATTTTTAAAAAAAAATGGTAATGGTGTATTCTTCAGCATTAAGGAGATGCTGGTGACCTGCAAACTTTTGCTTAATGTGGTTTCTTGTTTAGACCTTCTTTGTCCATTTTACAGAATAAAATTACTGAGCAATTCTGAATTCGAAGCAAAATCAGACCCTCAAACAAAAAATAGAAGTACAGTACTTATCTTAGCCAACATGAGATTTTCTATGAACACCCCAAAGAGAAACTTGGATAGAATCGTTGGATGTAATCCCAGCACCATCAATTCCTATTTTGATGCCAAATTTTGTGATTTCTTCTATTTTCTGGGAAATCATAATCAGCATGATCTAGAACCAAGTGTATTTGCTACATTAATCTCAATTACATATATAATCTGTGAAACCAGATACAACTACACACACTTTGTCTTTTCTTTCTTTTTTTGGGTAACAGTGGTGTCCGAGTTAGATGTGCACACCTCTCGGCTATTCCACTGGCTAGTTGCTACCTCCTATCTGTCCAGGTATTGGGTAACTCTTCTCATCAAGGTTTTTTGAGAATGGTCCCAATATTATAAATCAACACAAAACTCTCTGTTCATCAAAGCTTAGACAGCTGGGAATAAATCACCCAATATTTTCCATATTTACTGGGATTTGAGTCTCCAAAAAGTGCACACTTTTCACACTTCTCAGCGGTTTCTAAAGACATTTCTATTTCTTTTGCAGATAAGCCTAATGATAAGGGAAGGGCCCAAGGGGGTTTCAGAGTTGAAATAGGTACCCTATTTAGTCACTGGTGTGGCACCAAATTATATAGAGCTGGTATTAGGATGACAAAAAAAGTAAAACAAAGGTGCTTCCCATCTGTAGTTTGATTGATCTGTCAGAAAACACAGTGAGTTTAATATCCCTCTGAGGCTGAGCATTCAACCTGTGATGGTCTTGTCCATGCATTCCTATTTCCTCACATCACCTGACCATCCAACACTATTTCCTATAACGGCATTGCGAATCCTCCAATAAATCTTCATCATCCCACGTTTCCACATGACTATAAGAACTTAATTTTGGTTTATATACGGATTTCATCTAGCCAGTAGAGAAAAGCATAAAATATAAAACTTGATTTCTTCCCTAAAAAACTAAAGCTAAAAGTTGAAATAGGAGAGTCAATTAAATCAAATCAAATCAAATCAAATTAATGAATTTTAACATAAATCAATAGACACGGCAAAGCTGAAGTCAACAAGATCACATATTTTACCAAAATTACAGTAAACTATTCCATTTCCAACCACCTATCAATACATTTCAGATCAGATTGGAGAAGGGGAAGGGATGGAGGTACTGACCTCGAGCTCGGCAGATTTCAAGGCGACAGGAATGCAAACGAGTACGATTCCGGCGAGGGCAATAGCGGTATTACGCTTCCAATGTACGGGCCTACAGTACGGCCCACCACTCATACTCCAAACCTTAGTCCTGAAATCTCCACCATGAGAGTGGTCTCCTCCGCCGGCCATTTTTCCGTCTACCGCTGATGAGAAGCAAAGAGTTTTCAGATGAAAAGATCAATTGGGCGTTCCACAACTCACTTTGAAGAATTCGTATTATCGTATAGCCCTAAGACGCGTGCTATGTATTGAGCCGGAAAGAGAGTCACTTTGGACCCGACCCGACCTGATCCTACCGTAATGGTTCGGTTTTTCTCTTTTAACACTATGTTTAGACGATTGTTAAGTATTGTTTTCATAATGTATCCTATAGTGTTTTATATTGTGTTATATTGTATTTAATGTATTGTTTTAATGAATACAATGTTTGGATAGATTGTATAATTCTGTGTCACTACAAAATGTCATACATCAAAAATTTGAGTGATAAACCTATGAGAAAAGTAAGGTATAAAATAGTGTTATTATGAAAAGGTAAGAAAAAAAGATAAAATAAGATTATTAAACAATAAATAAAGACAAAACGAGAAGAAAATATTAAGTTTACGACGCGATCATACCAAATCGATTGTTTATTTAATCATTACATAACAATGGATTTAAATGATACAATACAATAGAATTTAAGTAACAATCAAAACAAACATTATATTTAAACTAACACCCTATTTGGATGATTGTTACCCGTTGTATTTAAACAATCATTACATTGTATTATTAGCTTAAATGTAATTTTGTTTTAATTGTTACTTAAATACTATTGTGTTGTATCGTTTAAATACATCGTTAGGTAACGACGAAAAGACTCACTTTATGAAATGATCGATTTAGTGTGATCAAAGTTTTCTAACTGTTCAAGCATTGACAAACATGAAAAGATAGAAAGAATCTGCTTGAGTTTTGGTCGATGCAAATGGGACATGTCAAAGAACTTGGTGGCATCTCCACTTGTAAGACGTCCATCTCCATCTGTACCAAATTAACAACCCCGTCATTCAAAAATTATTTTTTTTTGCTCTTATATATTTGAATAAAACACTAAAAAAATTATCAAAATCAACAAAATTGAACCATTTTTGATAGATCTTCTCGTTTTCTTTTGATCATCGATTAATGGGGCTTGTATCAAACTCCATTTATAAAATCTTTAATTATTTCTTTTTCTTCTTAGCCAGATGTAGCATCAATGTATCTCTCCAGCCATCTTGTCTGTTGTATCAATGGTGGATTTGAGATTCAATTCAGCTGTAATGGTCGTCTATTTTGGATATGCTATGATTTGGGATAAATGGATGAGAAGAAAATTTGAATTTTGAATGCTCTGAATCTGTTACGATTGGAATAGATTGATATCAATATGTTTTGCGTGATTTGTGGGATTGATAATTATTAAATTCCTTTTTAAGCGCAACGATTAAGTTATTTAATGTATCAGACTTTATGTATCTGGATGCTATAACTTTTAAGATATATTTGTAAAATAGAAAGAAAAAATAGGAATAGGGTGTGATTTATGTTTTACACTATGTGATTTATGTAAGTTATACTTAAATTAAACTAATTAAATTTTAACCCAAACCCGAATCCATCTAATAACTCAATACCCACCCCACCTACAACCCCATTAAACTAAGGAACAAAAAATTGATTTTCATTTGATTTCTTCTTAGTATTGTTCATCTTCTTTATTGAACTCATATTATTGTTCATCTTCTTTATTGAACCCAACAATAAAATCTATTGAAGTCACCTTAATCCATCTTTGAAATCCTCTAAAATTAAAATACAACTTCATGACAAGAACAATAATCTGAATCACCTACTTCAAAATAAGCAACAAGTTATATATAAAAAAATTGACATCTCCAATAGAAATTTATCCGAGCTTCAATGATGTTCAACATTATAAATCAAAATTTATTTATCCAAGTATTCCCAAAGCGTCGTGCCTCAAGGGCCCCCACCCCGCTCGGCCCCGAGGCACCGTACCTCGAGGCCCCCCGCCCGGCCTTAAGGTATCGTGCGTTGAGACCCCCTGCCCCGCCCTGCCTTAATAGTTCAATTGATGGAACTATTAACACTTTAGAAGTGTGATGTCAGAAAAATATTTATGATATGTTCACCAAGTTACTTCCTAAAGCTTCGTTTGGGTTTTCATCATCAAGCTTGGAGTAATTTCCAAAATATTAGAATTGAAGTAGATCTTTTGTAATATCATTGATTTTTTGTATCTGGTTTCACAGACTACATATGTAATTAAGATTGGCGTGTGGGTGAACTAACCCAACGCTATGTGATCTCACATACCTCATAGGGATCATCCCTTGACGAAATCCACAAGCGATTTTTGAAGATCTTGACGATTCTTGAACTTTCTTCTCCTTTCTCCTATTTTCTCTTTTCTCCAAGCCCTAGTGTGAATTTTCAATTGACTAAACTGATTTAATTCTGATTAGACCCCAAATAAACCCCCTAAAAATGAAATAAAATATTTTTTTAAGGAAAAGACCAAACTACCCTTCCAAAATCCGGATTACACTTTCCTTATTTGATCAATTCAACTTTCAATGGGCATATCTCACTCATACGAACTCGGAATCACGCAAATTCGGTGGCGTTGGAAAGATAATTCCACGATATTTCCTACGGTATCTGGAAGCACACCTAACTCATCCTGAACTAGGAGTTATGGTCGTTTGAAGTTGACCAAAAATCCAAACTTAACATAACTTAACAAATTTCCAGGTTTTTCATTCTTTCCTAAAATGACTAGTTCCAATTCTAACTCTTTTTAGTTCTTTCAATTAGCGAGATATTATAAAGTGACAAACATTTACCACAGATTAAAACATCATCAGATATTTACAGTTATGTATCGGTATCATTATATCTAATAAAAATTTGTATTTTTTTTACACATTATATCAGGTAAATTGTTATGTATCAAGTTATATTATGTATTAGGTATATTGTCATGTATCAAGAAAAAAATTATATGCAATAACATGCAATAACTAATAGAAGATGACCAAATTTAACAACATTAGGATATCCATACAAATTTTAAGAGTAATCCTTCAAAACTTGATCAAATTTTAACACAAAATAAAATAAAATTAAACGTGTCTATTATATTAATAACTACTCTACATTAACCAAGTCTTCTTCAGCAAGTGGTATGAAATGACACAATTATGTATCATATACATATCGGTGAATTTGATACACAATGCTTTAGTTATTGAACATTAGGGCTTATGTATCATGAGTATTATTGGGTAATGTATAATATATATGTATCACAAATATAATTTGCAACTGTGTGTAGATACATATTCTTCCAATTTTTGAATAAGGTTAAAGATACATAGCAACACTTGATTCATGACATATGATACATTTTGTAAAAGTTATGTATCAAATAACACCTGATACATGACATATAGTATATTTTGTAAAAGTAATGTATCAAATAACACCTGATACATGACACATTTTGTAAAAGTTATGTATCAAATAATGACATGATAAATACTAATCGATGTTTCAAAATAATAAGATTATGCATCAACAGAGATACATTACATAAAATAAAGACTATTGTAAATGTAATGTATCAGAACATTGAAACCACTATCAAAGGCTAGTAATTATGATCTAAAGTAATGAGATTTATGTATCAATGTGTCTGATACATATTCACTGCAATGTATGTATCTCTGTAATATTCTTGTTCTTTAAAACAATAACTGTGTGTGCGCAAGATATTTCGTCTAATTGAAATCTCCTACAATTACATATTTTTCGTTGAAGGCTAACAATGTATCTTCTTCCAGATTCATAAACTAAAAGAATAAATTCAGACAATGCAACAACATGCAAACATTAAATAAGTCAATATTACATTAAATGAAATACCATTTTTTGGTATTTTCAAAGCAAGACTAATCAATGTTTTCTAACTGTTCAAGCATTGACAAACATGACAAGATAGAAAAGAATCTGCTTGAGTTTTGGTCGAGGTAAATGGGACATGACAAAGAACTTGGTGGCATCTCCACTAGTAAAACGTCCATCTCCATCTGTACCAAATTAACAACCCCGTCATTCAAAAATTATTTATTTTTGCTCTTATATATTTGAATAAAACACTAAAAAAATTAACATAATCAACAAAATTGAACCATTTTTGATAGATCTTCTTGTGTTCTTTTGAACATCGATTAATGAGGCTTGTATCAAACTCAATGTATAAAATCTTTAATTATTTCTTTTTCTTGTTAGCCAGATGTAGCATCAATGTATCTCTTTAGTCATCTTGTCTGTTGTATCAATGGTGGATTTGACATTCAATTTAGCTGTAATAGTCGTCTATTTTGGATCTGTTATGATTTGGGATAGATGGATGAGAAGAAAATTTGAATGTTGAATTCTCTAAATCTGTTACAGATTGGAATAGATTGATATCAATCTGTTTTGCGTGATCGTGGGATTGATAATTATTAGATTCCTTTTTAAGCGCAACGATTAAGTTATTTAATGTATCATACTTTGTGTATCCGGATGCTACAATTTTTAAGAGATATTTGTAAAATAGGGAGAAAAAAAATAGGAATAGGATGTGATTTATGTTTTACACTGTGATTTATGAAAGTTATACTTAAATTAAACTAATTAAATTTTAACCCAAACCTGAATCCATCTAATAACCCGATATCCGTCCCCACCTACAACCCCATTAAACTAAGGGAAAGAAATTTGATTTCTTCATATTATTGTTCATCTTCTTTATTGAACCCAACAATAAAATCTATTGAAGTCACCTTAATCCATCTTTGAAATCCTCTAAAATTAAAATACAACTTCATGACAAGAACAATAATCTGAATCACCTACTTCAAAATAAGCAACAAGTTATATATAAAAAATTTGACATCTCCATTAGAGGTTTATCCGAGCTTCAATGATGTTCAACATTATAAATCAAAATTTCTTTTTCTAAGTATTCAACTACATTTCAAATACAACACCAATCAGATTCTAGCTCAAAATTGTGCACTTTCTAAAATTAAATTTGTCTACTAATTATTTTGAGATTCGAAAGATTTCGAATTCACTTGAGGTTCTTTTTAAAAGTTGTAAATTGTTGAATCTTTGAATATAATCAACTGCAAAGTAAATTTGATATGACCTAATCTGATTTAGTTGATATAGTGAATAAGATGAGAAAAAAAAGTTGAAGAAAGTCATCTAAACTTCATTTATGAAACCCACTAAAATCACCATTGAAGAATTTGAAAGATTTGAAGAAATCCAAATCTATGAAAATCAAGTTTTTTTCATTTAATTTAATGAGATTTTTAGGTGGGGCGGGTATAGGGTTAGTAGGTGGATCCGCGTTTGGGTTGAACTCTAATTAGTTTAGGTCAATTATAAATTACACCAATAAATTCATGACATGTAATAAATAAGAAATATAATTTAATTGTTAAATGTTATTGTCAAAAATAAGGATATTTCAGGGCCAATAAGTTAACGTTAAGGGCATTTTAGAGTCGAAAGATAAAAGAATGATATTTTTGTACTAAATTCGATAGTTTAAAGATATTTTAGGTCCTTTTCTATAAATTAAATAATGCTAAAAATTATTATTGTCAAATCTAGAAATTGAAGTAAGCTTATATATTTTGATTTATATACATAAATATTTTATTATAACATATAAATGTGCTAAATGTTGACAATCTCTCAATTTTTTTCTATAATATTATTCTATAATAAGTTAAATTTTGATATTGTCAATAAATTAATACTCCCTCCGTTTCAAAAAGATTGATCTGGTTTGACTTGGTACAAAGTTTAAGAAATTAAAGAAGACTTTTGAATCTTGTGATCCTAAATTAAAGTTATCTCAAATGTACAAAATTGCCTTTAATCTTGTGGTCTTAAACATGCCACGTGAAAAACAAAAAGTAAAATGTTACCAAAAAAGAAAAGAGGTCATTTTTTAAAAACTGACTAAAAAGAAAAGGATGATTATTCTTTGTGAAATGGAGGGAGTATTTACAATTACATTTATCAACACATTAAAAAACAATAGGATTTCTCGAGAACGAATTGCACCTAGCTTCAAAAAGAAAAAGTAATAATAACAGTAATACCAATACTAATAGGAGTAGGATACTTATAACAAAAGCTAGGTCACATGAAATAAGATTCCAATTGTACTTTGAATTGGAGCTCTGTTCACCAAATCTAGGGATTTCTTGTTAGGATATTATATAAGGCGGCTGGGATCGGAACAGTTGAGATAGATTTGCCGATGGCGCAAAAGATGGCTGATTGGTCGAAATTGCCACTTGATATGTTGGTTTCGATAGGTAGATGTTTGAATCTGATTGAAGACTACCTAAATTTTGGGTGTGTCTGCAAATCCTGGCACTCTGTGGCCACCAAGGCCAATTTTAACAATGACCTGTGTAGAGCTCCTTGGCTGATGCTAGCGGAGGAAGAGGATAATGAGGTTCGGAAATTCTTCAGCCTCTATAATGGCATGATTTTGAACAAGAGGATTCCCAAAGCTAGCAGAAAACGATGTTTGGAGTCTATGGGTTGGCTTATCACGGTAGGAGAAGAGGGTGAAATTAGTCTGCTACATCCCTTCTCTGATGTTCAGATTGAATTGCCCCATCAAAATACCACAGTAGAGTACAATGAACATCAGACTGGCTCACTGACTTGCTTTATTGGCAAGGCAGTTTTGTCAGCTAGTCCTTCTCACACATCCAACTACCTTCTCATGGTCATTGATGGAGGCTCGAGGTTCCTCAGTTTTTGGAGACCTGGAGATATTAGATGGACTAGAGTTACATGGGAAGGAATCAATTACAGTTCTTTTGCTGATTTGATATATTTTAATGGCCAAATTTATGCCGTGGATTATTCGGGTAATCTCCTAGTTTGTAATGTTGCTGATGTTGTTAGCCCTAAACTTACTAAATGTCATATCATACCATCTCAACCTCATGAACATATTCCAGAGCACTTATACATCCTAGAATCACTAGGATCATTATTTGTAGTTGTGCGATATGGTGTTCACTTTAGGCTTGTCCAAGATGATTGGGACATGATTCCATTAACGCTCGTTCCAAGACCTTATCACGTTGGGGTGGAGGTAACATATGGCACAAGATATTTTCGAGTTTCCCGGGTTGATTTAGCTGCTTCCAAAATGACGGAAACCAAGGAATTAGGGGACGCAGCTTTTTTTCTAGGTGCTAATGCTTCTCTTTCAGTCCAAGCTTCTCGATATCCAGGAATCAAGCCCAATCATATTTATTTTACAGATGATTTTTATGAAACATACATGTCCTATGAAGAAGGAGGAGGCTTGGACATGGGGGTGTTCAACTTAGCAGATGGCAGCATCCAGCCGCATTACAACGATGTTTCCCTGAGTCGTTTTTGTCCTCCAACTTGGGTAACACCAACTCCGTATTGAGTCATACATATTATTTATTCTAATTCTGTTTGTTAGGTTACTTTTTACGTTTTTAATTTAAATAATTACAGTTAGTTACTTATTTTCATATAATTGGACAAAATATAATCAAATTAGTTGTTATAATTATCAAACCAACGTAGATCACGCAAGTCCTCATCGAATATTATTTCTATAATATGATATGGTTAATTTTCTTCAAATGGATCTAAAACATTACTCCTTATGTAATTTTGTAATCAATCAAATGATGAATGGTTTGTTTCAGTAATCTTTCTGGTATGTTTGTGTCAATACTATTGGGGAGTAAATAGTTAAGCTTTGAGCACTAAACAAGTGTAGAAATGGATTAAAATTAAGCACACACCATATATCATTCAGATCAGCAGAAAGAAAGGCTAAGCAGCTCATTCGAATAACGACAGTTAAACAGTGACTATGTCAGAGGTGAACAACCAATCTAAATGCATGATTTTTCTAATAAAGAAACCAACAACTAACTTAGAGGCTTATCATTCACTTAAACCCGAAAACAATTCAACCCAAGCAGCCTCATACGAGTTTATTACGACATGTTAGAAAGCTGAAGGCAGATCAATCAGAAGAGAGCAGCAGGTAACGCTTTCGAAAGCAAACAAGAACTGGAATAATAATCTAAAACAAACTAATATAAACAGAAGAGTTCGAAACCAAACATGTTGCAGCTATGAAGGCCAGAAAATAAGAACAGTAACAAGTTAAGGTCGTGAAATCAGTTAGAAATACATTTCCAACATCCACACACTTAAACGCTTCATACAGTTGAGAATCGAACATGCCAACACATTAGGAACAAAGATTCATGAGCCGAAATGAGTATTACCTTTTAGAGGGTAGGGAACTGAGACAACGAGCCATGAGAGCTTTCCATGACCCTTGATTTCCAATACGAGAAGCGAAACCAGGAAACTCAAGTGAAATCTTGAACAGTACTCTTCTGAAACTTTGGATTTAGAAAGAGTGATATTCTGAAGAGAGAATTCTTTTTGAGTGAGTGGACTGCTGAAAAACCAACCCCTCCAACAGGATGGAAATTGAAAGACTTTGAATTCAAAATTCAAATTTGTTGGAGGATAAGGTTGGCCAGCAAGAAATTAGTACAATTCTCAACGGAGGATTGTCCATTTTAGAGAGGAAAAACGAAGAGATTTCAACACCTATATGATTCTCAAACGCTCTGGAGTACCTGCAGCAGATACATGTTACCACTCTTATCCTGGAAATAGTAAGCGGATGGGAGTTCAACAAAATTCCAGCGGATGACACTCTAGACACCCTTGTAACCATGGTAATTTCCCCTCAACATTTGCATTTACTTGTTGACGTAGTTACACAATCAGGTCATTTTATATTTCTATTTTTGACAGAATTTTGTGTTTGACATTATCTTATTAATTTAACGTGCAGTCTTGGAAACATTTCAAGGAGAATGAAGTACTAAGGGTGGTTCACATTGCGTCCAGATATGTCAAAGCCTCCTTATATTGATATGGTTCCAAACAACATGGTTCTATTCACCAGCATCATCCCTCTGCATCATTAGTTGATTCTTGCAGATATTATGACACACACCAAGATTATGGTCTCTGCAAAGACAGACCTAGCCATTTTATTTCGCGAGGAAAATGAAGAATTCTTCAGAGCTCCGATCAGACAATTTTGGAGATTATTATGAAGCCATCCGCCTGTAAAACTTTCTTAAATGTACAAGGTTCAAGAAAAGGATGCGGATAGAAAATACTGAAAAAATCACCATGAATATTCCCACAAGATTGAGTGGATTCACATACATTTAATCTGGCAGGCAGGTGATTGTCTAGTGCTAAACTTACAATTCAAGTTTAGAAACTTGAAATTTACTCAAGAGTCATCTATTTTCTTGATTTGATACTATAGACATCACAAACTAAAAGTAAAGACTACAATACATAAAAGTCTTGGGGTAGAAGAGGGGGGAAAATTACAAGGGAAATAACCGACGGGGAGCGATTTTCCACTTCTATCCTCTTCTGGATATATTATAACTAATAATGCGCACAGATGGCGTAATGGCGTAATCATTGTCTAAGGTTCCAGCTTCAGTGAAACCACTCTACACTACCTGTTACACTTCATAAACATTGCGGAGATACAAGACGGGGCCCACCATCAGTGGCGGACCCAGAATTTTCGTTCAGGGGGTTCGAAAAATAAAAGTATAAACGTGTATATATAAGCCAACAAAACAAAATTTCAAGAAAGTTGTAGTATTTAGTTTTAGAGGCGGACTCTTGAATTTTTTTGGGTTTAAGACCACACTTTTAGCATGTTTTATAAAAAAAAAACTATAAAAAACGTGAAAACGGAAAAAGAAAAAAATAAAACGCTAATGCAGGGATTCGAACCCTCAACATAAGACTTAATTTTCAAGGAACTTGCCACTGGGCTATCTCTTTCTCCTTTTCATTAAGGAGGTTCAAAATATATATATCCACATAAATACAGAAAATTACCTTATCCATACAGTGTAATTTTTTGCCGAGGGGGTTCGGGTGAACCCCCTGAACCAACGTGGGTCCGCCCCTGCCCACCATGGTCACCAGACTCTTTGCTCTCCCTTCAAGCAAGCCACTGAAGACATGAATTGAGTCAATATAGATAACAAGAACTATAGGACATTAGCAAATAGTAAAAGAATAGCAGTAACTTCATTCCGAAATAGCAACAGCAGATACACTGAAGTATTTCAATAGCTTTTTGTTATAATGGTTGCCCGGTGCACTAAGCTCCTGCTATGCTTGGGGTCCGGGAAAGGGCCAGACCACAATGATCTATTGTACACAGCCTTACCCAACATTTCTTCAAGGTTGTTTCCACATCTCGAACCCGTGACGTCGGACCTCCTGGTCACATGGCCAACACTCTACCAATTAACACAAAAAAAGAAGTATCTCACTAGCAACAATTTACAAATTTGTTAAGATTTACTAAGGTAGATAGTTTTAGAGAATGTCAACAGTAGGTAGAGGCAGCGCGATGGAACCATCACACCTATTGGAAAGTGAATTAGTCCCAACTTCAAGTTTTGCAAAAGGGTTTTTTCACATGACAAAGAAAACATGAGTGAGTCACCAATCAAAGCTGATTAAAAACAACATAACAAAACGTAATCATATTGCTGGAAAGATGGACAAAGAAAGTTGTCAAACTAAGAGATATGGTTTCATCTGTGAGGCACAACGTAATGAAGTCTCCCCATTTCATGTGGCACCTTCTTATAAACCGGAGAATCTGTTCAGTAGTGAACATGGACATCTCCTCCAAATAACACCATTTTCTTTGAAAATTTGACGATAGCTACCAAGCTTTATTTCTTCTAACCATAAACCTACATCCTGGCAAAACAAGAGCAGTAACAGAATGTCAGTCATTGTTGCAATTCCCTCGTGGACGTATTTATTCCTCAACCTCGTGTTTTTTCGTCTCCCTCAATTAAGTAACACCTTAATAAATGGATAGAGGTCAGAGGTCAGAGCACACAGGATTATAAGAATTTAGGCTATTACAAATTACAACATATCCCACTTAAGAATATCATGCTCCATTTTGCACCCAAGGGTGTGGCCTAGAGGACAATAAAATGGGTGATAACCATGAAGTCTCGGGTTCAAGTGAAAAAACCACTAGGTGATTTCTTGTTTATACACACTATAGATAAATTGTTATCCCACACAGTAGTAGGACAGAAAGGCATATATGTCTGTCGTAGCTCTGCTTCAGATGTGATTACTTGCTGATGACAATTTTATGTTATCTCCTGTATTCAGATTAGCAAACCAGAAATAATAAAAGATGAAAAGAAAAACTCAAAGAACTATCTGAGTCCACATAACCCACTGTGTGTCCTTAAGAAATTTAATCCCCTCAAGTACCCGAGGTTGCAGATTAATTCCTCCCAAGATAAAATGGATTAACCATTAAAGAAATATCGGTACCTCAAACTTCAATAATTTCAACGAACTCAAAATGACAACAACGAATCACACACACAGACACGATCGATCGATTTTGTTTTGTAAGAAATGTATGCAAAAGAAGGGAAGAATTCGAT